CCGGCCCAGGCTCGGCCTCCTCCCCAGCCACCTGCCATTTTGCGCACTACTACACCCTTCAGGAATGTTGGACTGGCCTGCAGGTTTTAGGCCAAAACTGACAGTCCGACATCCCCCAAGGCGGGTCCCAGATTGCGAGAGGGCACAGGCCAGGCTGAGGGACCCCACCAGTGCATGGATTCATGCACTGGGCCTCTAGTGTGTAATAATCAACAAAACATATATATGGTAAGTATACTCTGTACCAACTTAAAGGAATTTTTCTCTCTAGGAAGTTTATCCTCAAGGAAACTCAGAAGGGATAAGTGGGCAGAAATCTATATTAATTTCCTAGAGCTACCCCAACAAAACACCACAAACCAGTTTTATATACTTCTATTCTAATTAGAAATAGAATGTGCTCCATTCTTTATTTTTGCTTTTTAATTCACAGGATTTCGTTGATAGGACTGTGTACTGACCACAGTGGGCAGTGATCAGGCTGGGTCTGTATTTAGCTTCATCAGTATAGTGAGAATATTTTTAAGGGAAAAAATTTATTCATTTTTCTGTTCTTAGCCCTAAAATAATTTCATTTTGCCTACATTTTTCCAGCCTTTAGCCATATGTATAGAATAAATCCACCTAATTATGAACTAAGAAAATATTACCATTTTGTATTACATTCTGTGGGCGCTGAATGTTGGTTTTATCTTTGTTACACAAAGTGGTAATGACAAAACATTTTTTTTTCTCCTTAGTGCTCATAACTTATTGCCAGTTTTAACACCCAAAACCACACTGAAGTCACCCTTTCTCTCTCCAAAAGGAAACCAATGACTTTGGCAAATAAGTTGTTATATTTTATTTCTTTATTCTAGAACCTTTGTATAACTTCAACCAAGAGCATTGGCCTCTGTGTTTGTGAATTAGCACCTTGATTGGAAAGTGAGGGAACCCAGCCCTGACCTCTCTGTTGTTCCCTCAGTCAGACCCTCTGTGCCAAGCGCTGCACCTTCTCAAACAGATGAAACAGCATCTGTTTAGAAAAACACACTGACTTAAAGGAAGAGTTATGATTGTAGATTTCTTAGAGAGCTGTTGTCATCACGTTTTAAGCAGAGTGTATTACAGTAAAAGGTAAAATGTAAGTAGATACTGGCAAAAAGAGTAAGGTAGCCCTGGATGGTGTGGTTCAGTTGGTTGAGTGTCGTCTCCTGAACCAAAAGGTTGCTGCCAGTTCGGTTCAGTTCCTCGCCAGGACACATGCCCGGGTTGCAGGCTCCATCCCTGGTAGGGGGCGTACTCATTTCTAAAGTTTCTTATTTGTTGTTTGTGCTGCTTCACTTGAGTGTAAACTGTGAGGGCCAGATTTTTGTTCTTTTTTCTTTTTTTTACTAATATATCTGAGTACTAAACAGTGCTGACATAGAAGAGGCACCTAAATAAACAAACATATTAAATGGATAAATAATTACTATCATATTTTTAGTAGTGGACTGTGATTGAATTTGAATTATTATGATCCACAGGTTTATGCTGAACATTATGAAAGAAAATTGCCTCAGGAAGTAATTTGTACAATCTGCAGGGGTTTTCTACTCTGTGAATGTCCTATTGAAATAGCTCGCTTGTGTTTTAAGTACTGTGTTGGCAATATGTGTTCAGTTTCTTTTATTTTATTTCTTCTTTCTGCCTCAGAAAACAACCTTTTTTGCCGTGCATATATGTGGAGCTGTTCTCACCTTTGGTATGGGCTCATTGTATATGTTTGTCCAGACCGCCCTTTCCTACCTAATGCAGCCCAAAATTCATGGCAAACAGATCTTCTGGATCAGACTACTGCTGGTCATCTGGTGTGGAGTGAGCGCATTTAGCAGTATCCTTTGCTCTAAAATGTGGCTACACACGGAAGGGAATTGAAAAACAAAATTTAAGTGAACGCTGTTAGCATACTGTAAGCAGTCCTTTTGTGAACAGTGAGATTCTTGGAACAGTAACTCCAAATTCAAGGATTTTAAACATATAATTCAGTTTTTACATAGGAACCCAGTAACTGGGCTAGGAACAAAGATAATGTGTAAACTAATCATGCTCCCTTCAAAGATGTTATGATGAGTTAATTATGTAGCCGAAGCTGGCGGTGGAAGTGCTGAGTTACTGACAAAGGCGGTTGCCGATGTGAGCCACTTCATAGTGACCCTCTGGGCACACTGAAAAGTTTCCTTCCGCCATGTACCATGAAGTCTTTAAGAAGATGGGTTTGGACCTTGGACACAAATATATGCGTGGTCCTCTTGGACCTTTAAAGCAATTTCGGTTTTGAATCCAACTTATACTTACAGCTCCTCTCTGAGAATCTTCCTTGACCGGCCTTTCTCATAGTGCTGACTTGCTCCTCACTCCTGTACAGTGGCCATTTTGGCTCAGATATAGTACAGAAACTCCACTGGAAGCCCGAGGATAAAGTAAGAATGTAGAGTCTTTAAAAACATAGTTTTGTATTAAAGATGACTATTGTGATAATGTGTTTTTCATTTCATCACTAACAATGAGACATTTTCAGTAGAATAATCAGTTATGTATTAAGGTTATTTTCTATATATGAAAGGGTTTATGTGGCATCCTCTGTATTCTCCTGTCACCTGTGGTCTGTGGGCATTTTCAAGATATGAAGGAAATTGTGATGGCAAAGAGTTTTCTCAGAAATGGACTCCTCACAGTCAGGATATAGTATACAGTGTACCCAGCTGAGATCTTTTATTAGAATACTTGTTTTCTGAATTGAAAACATGTCTTTGCCCACCTTTTGTTGCCTGGAAGTGTATTATTATGGACTCTGCATTTAGATTCAAATATAGTGGACATCTGAGCTTTGATCCTGAGAAAAATGGAGGAGGGACATATACTACATAGATAATAAAATAAGTTTATCTGTTTTCACAAACCTCTCAGTGACATTTTACTTTAAATTATTTACCAAATATCAGTCTTATTAGGACATATTTGTGGAAATGAATGAATAAAATAATTTGCTAGATTTTCTGAAGTATAATCCATACACTACTTAATGCTTTAAAATAGCACTAAGTTTATCATGAGCATTGTTTACTTAAGGGTGGTTTTTTTTTAAATCTTTGGCTTTGGCAAAGGCAGTAAGTTCTTGATTCAAGTAGAAGTTCTCCTGTGTTAGTGATTCAAATGGAACTTTATGTGCTCTAGATAAAACTGTGATGATACTAGATCATTTAAGAGGACTTTTCCAATGCTTGCCTTGAATGCTCAAGATACGTTAAAAAAAATTGAGGGTTTATAAGTATTACAGGTTTTTTATTTGAGAGAAATCATAGACCATTTGCCTGAAATTTCACAGACTTATTCTTTTTTTTTCATTGTCACTCAAGGGCTATGTGCTTCACATGATTACTACCGCAGCAGAATGGTCTATGTCATTGTCCTTCTTTGGTTTTTTCCTGACTTATATCCGTGATTTTCAGGTAAGAAAACACAGAATTAGATTTATGTGGTCAAACTTCCTTCAGGTGGGGTACGAGAACTTTCTGAAGGCAAGTCTCTAACCTTTCGAACATTAACTTCATAAGCAGTGATGGCAGAAGAGGAACTTTTCACATGAATTGTTTCTGTGTTTGCAGAAGTAGTGTACTACTAGCAAGATTCAGCTTTGAAATGGGGTTGTAAAACAATCACATTTGAGAAATTCTTTGACAGAATTTTCATCCACTCTGCTTCCATGTACGTTGACCATCCTCAACATTTAGTTTTACTGATTCTTCATAGAAATGAAAGAAAAATAAAGATCCTAATAGAGAAACTTGGTTTCCCCAGCTCTCAATACTACCAATATCTTTGGCAATTCAATAGCTGTCTCATTCTTATTACTCATTATAATTAATTTATATTCCTAACCCCAAAAGATATTCCTCTGAACATATTGAGGATGTGACCTGTCATTAAGGAGCAAACTTCTGTATATATTTTTCCTTTTTTTTGTTCCAGAAAATTTCTTTGCGAGTGGAAACCAATTTACATGGATTAACCCTCTATGACACTGTTCCTTGTCCTATTAACAACGAGCAAACACACCTACTTTCCAGAGATGTATGATGAAAAGATGAAACATGCGATGATTATGATTCTCAGGGATTGGGAAGACGTTCATAAGTTACTACTACTGATCTGAAATTTTCCACCAATTAAGGCTGACAGTGACATTAATGGGTCCTGATAACCAAGAATCATGAAGTAAGCCAATTTATAAATTATTTCAAGGGATATATTCAAGTGGATCATGTAAAACCATTTCTGCCTATACTTTTTTTACTCGCAGGAAATAAAACCAAAGGACAATAGCACTAGATTTTTTTTCTACTTTATTGAAGTGAAACACCAGAAGTGCACTGAACCGTCCGCAGAATCCAGCATTTCACGTTTTAGAAATTATTGTAAAGCATGTTTTGTTTGGAGCACTTAGGCAAGTCATTTTCCAGGACACCAAGTGATCAGCATTGCTCAGCAGCTCCTTTCAAATTGGGTTTTGCAGTAATAGTTTTACCCTATTAATACATTTCTTACAGTCTTTTAAAAAATCTTTTTCTGGAATTCACCAATAAAGGGAAGCAGACCTGAGTTCATATACCATCTGTGGTTAGTTTTAGTGGTATTGAATTGATGCCTGCCACAAAGCCAGATATGATGCTAACTGGTTTGTCACACATGGTTATAATAATTTCATGAAGCTTAGTCTCTGATAAGAGATTTTAATTAAAACTGAGAGAAGCAGCTATAGTTAAATTTATGCCAATCATGTTTTGCATAAAACGAAGGTTAGTGTTCATTCATGAATCTGAGGACTTTGTGAATAACGGCAGATATCATTAATAATAGTTACCTTAAACTACAGTCAAGAACTTTTTATAGATTTTTCTTTATAGCAAATTATAATTACTTGTAAAAGTAGCCTTGAGCAGGCAAATATTGAACCTTTTTACTGGGATGTGATGTTTGTAGAAATCAGATTCTAAAGGACAAAATGAGCAACTTGAAAAAATTAGGTACAAAATAATGGTGATACATACATCTCTCTGGTCATGGCACGTGATTGGATAGCTTGTACCAAAATTTCTACCTATGCAGATAAAGAATGATTTACAGCCCAGCTGGCGAGCTCAGTGGTTGAGGGTCGACCTATGAACCAGGAGGTCCCAGTTCTAGTCCTGGTTCGATTCCCTGTCAGGGCACATGCACAGGTTGCAGGCTTGAGCCTCAGTGTGAGGTGTGCAGGAGGCAGCCAATCAATGATTCTCATCACTGATGTTTCTATCTCTCCTGCTCCCTCTCCCTTCCTCTCTGAAATCAATAAAAATGTATTTAAAAGTAAAAAAGAATGATATACAGATTCCAGATAAATTTAGAAGGAGAAAATGCTCATCGGGAAGATGACCACGACAAACTGATTTGCAAAAGAATCCTTGAAGAAGATTAACAAGCTTTATCTTTTTAGAAGAAATGGGTCCACTGCCAGAATGAAAGATGGTGAGAACAAATTTAAAGTGTAAGAGAAAGCAATTTAAGGGAAAATGGTTATTTGGTGGAAACAGAGCTTGATCATGAATAAGTTGCTAGAATAGGACTAAATGTTTCTGAAGACTTTTGGACTGAAAATAAAATACTATTTATGTATATTAAGGAGCAGTGAAAAGGGGGGGCATTTCAGTAAACATTGATTGGCATGTGAAAAAAATATGGGTACAAAGTATAAAAATTTTTTTTATTATATTTCTGCAAATCATAGTGCGACCACACCTGGAATACAGCATCCAGTCCTGATTGTTCTATATCAAGGAAACTATAATTCAGTTACGAAGACCACAGTATGGTGAGGGGGAAATTGAATCAAAGTTTATAAAATTATAAATTATGTGTGGATAAGGTGGCACAGGGGAGAATGTGGACTTGTACGTCCATACTGGAATATCAGGCTTAGAGATATACATAACACATTAAATAAATTATTGTAAAATAAAAATATTAGTTTGATGGTGTTTTAATTCTTTAACTTTTACTCTTAGAAAAAATATAGATCCAATTAACTCAGCCTCCACTCTAGGAGTATGAAAAAGAAACAGCAGCGCTTTTCTGGAGATAACATTTATTTTCACACTTACTCTTCTTTTATAAAAAATATCCAGCATAGAGTAAGAAATTAGAAGACATGGAAGGAAGCAGGACAATTTGATCCAGAGAGGAACAGTCAATGAAAGCAAACTCAGATTTCCTAAATGTTGCAGATATCAAATGTAGATAACTATGATAAAAGTGCTGAAGGATCTAGTAAAAAGGGTGGAAAACATGCATGAAAAGATGAGGACTTTCAGCAGACATGAGAGCTTGGAAAAACAAGAAAAAATTCTACAATTGGATATGACAGTTACACATAGAAAAAAGGACCAATAAACGTGAAGATGGCATTTGAAAGTATAAAAACTGATTAACCAATGTCACCCAATAAATTCAATAAGAAAAGAAAATATAAAAACAAAGTTGAGAAAAGAATGCAAATTAAAATCCAATATATGAGTTATGAAGGCAAACTCGAATGGCTTTCCATTTTATAATTGAGTTTCAGGAGGGGATAAAGAGAATGGTACAGAAGTATGTTTGAAGGGATATTGACTGAAAACTTTCAAAATTGATGGTAATCAATGAAGAGAAATTGAAGTGAGTTTTTTTAAATGATTAAAATTGATGAGCACCTAGTAAGACTAGTATATAGGATTAATAGTATTCCATCAAAAGCCATGTCTAGACATTCAGGATGTGATTGTCTTTGGAAATAGAGTATTTGCCAATGAATTAGTTAAGATGAACTCATACTAGATTAGGATTAGCCTTAAATTCAATGACTGATGTCCTTATAAAAAGACCACATGTGACACAAATAGAGAAGGCAAAGTGAAGACAGGCAGAGATTGGAGAATGTATCCTCAAGCTAAAGATTGCCAGCAACCAGAAACTAGGAAGGAGTCTCTCCAATGGCCTATAGAGGTAGCCTTGATTTTGAATTTCTATCTTACAGAAATGTGAGAATGACTTTCCATTGTTTCAGGCCACCCAGTTTATGATAATGTATTATGACAGTCTAGGAAACTTAAAAAGCTGATCAAGTAGAAAAGACAAAATACAAGTTACTATTACCAGGAATGAAAAGAGGGACATCATTACTTGGCCTTTTGACATTAAAGATAATAAGAGCATGTTATGGACAACTTTATGCCAATAAACTCAACAATTCAGATGAAACGGACAAATGTTTTTTGAAATATAACTTGTCAAAAGTGATGCACAAAGAAAAGATCTAAAAATAGCTCCATATTTATTACAGTATCAAATTTGTAATCACACGAAGGAAGACTCTTAAGTCCTGATTACCTCACAGGTGTATTTTATCAAATATTTAAGTTAGAAATTATACCAAGTTCTACACAAATTCTTTCAAGAAATAAAGATGAGAACTTTTCAACTTGTTTTATGAGTCTAGCACAACACCAGTAGCACAACTTGACCAATATGAGAAAAGAAAAAGATTCATGTCCCACATGAACACCAATGCAAAATTACTTAACAAAATAGTAGGAAATAGAGCTTAGCAATGAGAAAAACAATAATATAGTGAGACCAAGTGGAATTTATCTTAGCAATATAATTCAACTTAACATAAAGAAGGAAAATCAGAACAAAAAAAAATTACAAAAGGAAACACTCTTATGATAAAAAAATCCCACCAAACCAGAAACACAATCCCACCACTTTATAATGGGCAACTATAAAAATCTAATCACTATGTTTAATGGTTTAATATTGAATCCCTTTCCCTTCTAATTTTAAAAAAGGCAAAGATAATCCTTGCCTTCTATTCAATATTGCAATAGAACTCCTAGTCAGTATAATAAAGAGGAAAGAAAAAAAAGGGGGGGGGGAATGTCTGTTTACAAAAATCCTATGAAGTTTAAAAACTAATTTTGGGTTAATAAATGAGCATAAGAAACTTGAAAAAGTAAAGAGATATGACAAAACCAAAGGAACAAAATAATTAACTAATGTCTGACACCACCCTCCCTCCCCCACTTCCAAGCAGATCTACCAGTTACCTGTAAAAGAATTAAAAATAATTTTAGAGGAGTACAGGTACTTTCAAGTTAACACAAACCGCTCAATAAACTTAGGAAGTAATACGTAAACAAAATGAAGTTCAACAAAGAAATTATTTTTAAAAGAACCAAACAAAAATGCTGAAGCTGAAGAATACAATGAAAATTACTATAGAGAGCTTCAACAGCAGACGTAATCAGAAGAAAGTCTACCATATTATGGGACACCATCATGAGAGCAAATCACTCATTATGGGAGTCCCAGAAGAAGAAGAAAGAGCAAGATGCAGAATGCTCGTTTAACAAAACAATCACTGAAAACTTCCCAAATTGGGTGAGATATTGGCATCCAGATAAATGAATTCTGAAGGTCCCCAAACAAAGAGATCTTTAAGATACATTACAAGCAACTCAAAAATCAAAGATAAAGTTACATAGTTATTGTACTGTTACTGACTATATTCCCTACGCTGTACTTTGCATTCCTGTGACTGTTTTTATTACTGGCCATTTGCACATCTTAATCCTCCCCTGTTTTCATCTATTCCTCGTACTTCCCTACCATCCGGCAGCCATCACTTTGTTCTCTGCAACCATAAGTGTGTTTATGTTTGGTTTGTTTATTTTGTTTTTTAGATTCCCTATAGAAGTGAAATCATATGTTGCAAAAGACATGATCTTATATATGAAAACCCTGAACTTCAAGGAACTGCTAGAACTAATCAACAAATTCAGAAAATTATAGGATAAAAATTCAACATATAAAAGTTAAACATTTATACACTACCAATGAGCTATCTAAAGGAGAAATTAAGATAGTAATACCATGTACAGTAGCTACAAAAAACAGTAAAATACAAAATCTGTACATTTAAAACTATAAGATATTGATGAAAGAAATTGAAGGCATGGCCGAAACTGGTTTGGCTCAGTGGATGGAGCGTCAGCCTGCGGACTGAAGGGTCCCAGGTTCGATTCCGGTCAAGGGCATGTACCTGGGTTGCGGGCACATCCCCAGTGGGAGTTGTGCAGGAGGCAGCTGATCGATGTTTGACTCTCATCGATGTTTCTAACTCTCTATCTCTCTCTCCCTTCCTCTCTGTAAAAAATAAATAAAATATATTTTAAAAAAATAAAAATAAAAAAATAAAAATCTCATTTAAAAAAAATTGAAGGCATAAATAACTGGAAAGATATATTGTGTTTTTTGATTGGAAGTTTTTATATTGTTAAAATGTCCATACTACCCAAAGAAATGTACAGATTTAAGGAGACTATATCAAAAGTCCAATGGCATTTTTACAGAAAATTTAATCCTAACATTGTTACAGAATCACCAAAGACCCTGAAAGCCAAAGCAATCTTGAGCAATAAACCCAAATAAACTACATTGAGGCACATTATAGTCAAGATGTTAAAAGACATATGCAAAGGGAGAATGTTGAAAGCAGCAGGAGGGAAACAACTCATTACATACAAGGATTCTCAATAAGGCTGTTAGCTAATTTTCCAGTCAAACCCTTGAAGGTCAGAAGTCAATGGGATGGTGTATTCAAAGTGCTCAAATGAAGGAACAAGAAAAAAAATTCAGAGAAAAATTTTAAAGAAACAAAGATAAGTAATTTGCCTGTTACAGAATTCAAATCTTTAGAATAGAGTGACTCAGAGAAAACATTAACAAAGCGTTAGAAAATGTAATAAATAATCCATGATGAACACAATAACTGAAATGAAGTATACATTAGAAAGAATGAACATTAGATAATACCAAAGAACAGATTAATGATTTTGAAGACAGTATAAGTGGTTTGGAAGTCACCCAATAAGAACAGCAAAATTTAAAAAGAATTTTAAAATAGGATAGTCTAAGGGACCTCTTTGACAACATCAAGCACTCTAACAT